TAGAGGAATTTTCCATAATTATTTCTTCAAACAGCTGCTCAACATCTTGATTTTCTTCAGTTATGCCAATCAGACAGATATTTGGACCCTTAATAGTGTCCCATATACTCCTTAAATTATTTTTATAGTCTTGGCATCTTATCTTTGGCTATTCTGATTGTGTGTCCTTGGCTTTCCTGGCCTCTAGATAGGGCATTTGATCCTTTGCTTTATTCACTTTGTTTATTTCATTTAATATACTTATCATTTCAGATAATGTGTTCTTCATTTCAGACTGGTTCCCTTTTATAATTTCCATTTCCATTTTTATGGTTTTTTTTTAATCTCTTTGTTGAAGTTCTCACTGAATTTATCTACACTTCTCAAAAGTTCATTGAGCATCTTTATAACCTATGTTTTGAACTCTGCATCTGTTAGATTACTTGACTCTATTATATTTGGATCTCTGTTCTGTACTCTCATATGGTTTCTGCTTCTTTGTCTTCCCATTTTGGATGCCTTTCCATGTCTGTTTCTATGTACTGAGCAAAGCTCCTAAGTCTCCCGGTCTTATTAGTGTGGATTTGTGAAGTAGGTGTCCAGTGGCATAGTCCTGAGAGGGGTTTAGCTGAAGGCCACATTTAGCTCAAGCCTCTGCCCCTCCAGGGCCACCTGTTAAGATTCAGCAAGCAATCCACAGATCCTGTGCTTACAGTTGCCTCAAAAGGCCACACCAGAAACCGAGGCCAGCTGACTCCAGTGTGAGTCTAGGTGCTGCTCAGCAAGGATATATCTGAGGATATATCTGGATGTGGCTTGGGTGGGGCCACGAGTTGGAGGAGGCGGAGTTTCAAGGAATCATCTGGGCAGAGTGACCTCTTATCCAGTTCGATGACCTCATGGCTATGGCGGTTCTGTGTCCCTGGCACTGATAGGGGGTAGAGCTCCACAGGGAACAATGGATACCGCCAGCACTTCTGTACAGAGACTTGGCCTTGGCCCTCACTCTGATAATGTCTCCCTGTAAGTCCCTGGTGCCCACTGCGCGCAGCCGAATAGGCACTGGTGCTCAGAGCGAGGTCCATCACCGCGAAAATGCGCTCGTGGATGCAGCCCCTTTAAGAGGCGTCTGCAGCTGATGCTGACGCAGCCTCATTCTTAGCTACTCCGGACAGGGCAGCTCCACGACCTCGCCCCGTCCTACCTTCTGCTGTTGCAGGGTGATTTCTTGGATTTCTCCCTAGTTGTATGGCTTGTTCATCCAGAGCCCAGGCGATTTTTCCTTGCTGCTGCTCGTTGTTTCTGTTACAACTTTGATTTGGTCATTAGAGGGATGAACAGCCTCTATCATCTATGCCATTTTTTTTTCCAGTTTGGTCTTGTTTTTGATACACTTTGACAATCTCTGTTTTTTAACTAGTGTAGACAATGGACATTTAAAGTTATTGATATAGTTGGATTAATATCTACCATGTTAGTTACTGTTTGCTATTCACTGTCCTTGTTCTTTGTTTCTATTTTTGTCTTCCATTTTTTTGTCTTTTGTGGTTTTAACTGATCATTTTATATGCCATTTTCTCTCATTCTTAGCATAACAATTATACTTTTTTTTTTTTAATTGCCCTAGAGTTTGCAATACACATTTACAACTAATCCAAATCCACTTACAAATAACACTATACCACTTCATGGGTACTGCAAGTACCTTTCCTTTCTTCTGTTTCTTCTATCATTCTATTGTTCATTTCACTTATGCATTAGCTATAAGCAGTGAATATATTTTTGCTGTTATTTTGAACAAACTGCTATCTCTCTGCTTATTTTATCTTCGTTTATTCCTTCTTTGATGCTCTTCCTTATTTAGGTCTGAGTTTCTGACCTGTATCATTTCCTTCTCTCTGAAGAACTTCTTTTAATATTTTTGCAAGGCAGGTATACTGGCAATAAATTCTCTCACTTTTTGTTGGTCTGAGAAAGTCATTACTTCTCTTGCACTTTTGAAAAATTGATTTCATAGGATACAGAATTATAGGCTGCTATGTTTTTTTTTTTTTGCCTAAAGCTAATATTTCATTCCACTCTATTTTTTGCTTGCCTGGTTTCTGAAGATAAGTCAGATATGATTTTTATCTTTGCTTCCCTATAGGTAAGGTTTTTTTTTTTTTTTTTAATCTCTGCCTTTGTTCAAGATTTCTGATTTTCTGCAGATTAACGGTGATATACCAAGGTGAAGTGTTTTGGCATTTATCCTGCTTCGTGTTTTGTAAACTCTCTGGATCTGTGATTTGCTATTTGACATTAATTTGGGGGGAAATTATTACTTCAAATATCTTCTGTTGTTTTCTGTCTTTCTTCTTCTTTATTCCTATTACCAGCATGTGACATCTTGTAGTTATGCCACAATTCTTGGATATTGTTTCTTTTTTTTTTTCTCAATCTTTTTTCTATTTGCTTTTCAGTTTTGGAAGTTTCTATTAACATATCTCCAAGCTCAGATTTTCTTTTCTCAGCTGTGTATAGTCTATTAACGAACCCATCAAAGGCATTCTTCATTTCTGTTACAGTGCTTTTAATTTCTAACATTTCTTTCTGATTCTCTCTTAGAATTTCCATCTCTTTGTTTATATTACCAATCTGTTTTTACATGTTGCCTACTTTTCTTTTGGAGCCCTTAGTATATTAGTCATAGTTCTTTTAAATTCATGGCCTGATAATTCCAACACCCTGCCATATGCAGGTCTGGTTCTGATGCTTTCTCTGTCTCTTCAAACTGTGTATTTTTTGCCTTTTAATATATTGTGCATATTTTTGTTTAATGGCGAACATCGTGTCCTGGGTAAAAGGACCTTAGGTAATGTGGTGGTCAGGTGTAGTGGGAGGGGAAGAGTTTTATAGTCCTATTAGGTCTCAGTTTTTTAGTGAGCCTGTGCCCCTGGGCTGTGAACGACACTAGTGCCTCTTAAGTTTTTTTGATTTCTTTTATTTTCTTTTCACATTCCCTTAGGTTGTACAAGACGTCTAGAGGGGACTGGAGTTGGGTTTTTCTTTTCTCTCGTGGGTTGGGCTCTGATAAAAATCCCCCAAATTTAGGTAGGAGCTGATAAAATGGTTTCTCTTGAGGACAGGTCTTGTTAAGAACAGAATGCTCCAATGTTATTTCACTGTGGTTATAAACGGCCTGCCACCAGATGGCTCCTGGAGGTAAAACTCACAAAAGTGTGTCCCCCCCACACTATAACTGGGCTCCCTCTGGAGTTTTTGCTCTCAGACTTGTAAACACTGAGCCTCCAGCCAATTTTCAATTACAATTTTGGTTTTCCTGCCCTGGTCCTGGTTCCCCACAGAGGTTTCTGCTTTGTTAAGTTATGATTCTCTGTATCCAACTGCCTGTCTCTAGTTTGGGGGGACAGTAATTTGCTCTGTGACCTAACTTCTTTGATGGAATTAAGAGTTGTTAATTTTTCAATTTGTTTAGCATTTTATTTGTTAGGATGGAGTGATGATGCTGGATCAAAATCTAGAAGGGGCTGGGATATTATTTTTTGAGCTCTAAATTTCCAAGACTGCTTACTTCATAAAACTGATGATAAGATTTTAATGGAGAAACTCTGGTCTCAAGATGATTTAAAAATCATAACTGGATATATAATTCAGCTTTCTTTTCATTTACTTAAAGGAAAACTAGCTGGCTGAAAATAAGTTGGTACCTTTATTGAGAGTAAACTAAAAAGAAAAAAAAAAGGAGTAATTGCCTAAAACTTACATCTATTGCCCTAGAATATCCATTTCTTTGGGGCTAAGCAAGCCACCACCTAAGTAAGGAATATAAATAGTGTAATTAAAAGTGATAAGACTTGACTTCTGTGTGTGGTTAAGAGTTTAGACTTCTTACTTAAATTAATTTGTATACACTGTGGAATTGATGAATTAAGTATGACTTGAAGACAGCCTATCTATTATCCAAAGGATATGCTGTTTTAAGGATTTCTTTAGCATGAACATAGGGTGTGTGTGTGTGTGTGTGAGAAACAGACAAAGTGAAAAAGAGTACAAGAATATAATCCCTAAGATAAAAACATAAAAGTTCTTTTTCCTATAAATTTCTCTAAAATTGCAAAATCAAAAGAGAAAGAAAACAAAGGAGGAAATGGGTTGTGGACTTAAGTTTGTAGTTTCAATACTGTTATTATCTTCAATTAGTTCACTAGCAAACTGCAGTCCTCAGCCTCAATGGAAAATCTTTGGTGATCAATACATTTTTCTCTTTCACAGGTCCCAGCTGTTGTTCTATAGAAACTGTCCACTAAATATGCATGTAAGAGCTATGTGCAGAAATTATATTTACAAAGGAGTCCAATCACTTACACTGGCAGATGTTCTAGTTTAGTTTAGATTCAGGGCCTTAAAAATACTGATGTTAATTAAAAAGCAACCTTTAATAAATAAAAAGTCAATTAACAAAAATTTGCTTTCAAAAGTTTAAAGTTAGCAAGCAGCAAATTAAAAAAATAAAAGTTTGAAACTTTAATTGCTTATCCTTCATCATATTTTAAAATAATTTTTGTTCTCTGTAGGCTCTATACTTCTAGAGGTCAAAATCCCCTTTTCCCTTAAGTTTAATCATACAGAATAGCTAGAAAAAAAATCAAGAAAATTTCATACATATTTAGTGACAATGAGATACTTTAAAATTTTAGTGGGAAAGCAAATTTTATAACTCTTTACAAGGCAGCTATTGTTTTAAAATTGGGGGTCTAATTTAATAGGAAACAATATTGCCATAAGTATAATGTTCATTTTAGCTAACTTAAAAATAAATTTGAAAAGTAAGTTTTAAATACAAATCTTTAATCAATGCTGCTTCTAATCCCCATAATTTAACATAAAAAGTCATGAAAATCATTAAAATATAAATCTGTTAAGCAATTGTTATTTTTGACAGATTCAAAAAAACATTTTCTTTTGTCCACATATTGCTTATATTAAAGCTGATATCTGGAATATACAGATTAAGCCTGTGGTTTAATATTTATCAAATAAATTTCTCATTTTCTCTCTACTTACATTTCTTATTTCACATACCATTTGTAATAATTTTATTCAACATTCCTTGTGGAGGACAAAAACTCTTTTCCATCTCTGGTTTTGTTTCCTCTTCTTTTGGGAAGAAAGTTTCCTGAATATCTTCTTCATGTTCATTAGTGTTACCATCTTTGAGAATCTGAAGTATAACAAAGAAATCTTTTAAGAAATATATTTTCTGTACAATTTTATGAATGTACAAAACCACCAAATCTCATAATCAAACTCATATTATTGCCAACATGGAGAATTACACATTAAAAAGTATATATTCATGTTTTATATATCAATATATGATAGATATTGACACATGGAGATGTTACAGCCATACATTTTGCAAGGTACCTTGACTTAGCGGTTTGAGTCTCTGCTGTTTTCATTTGTGATTTATGTATACTGAAAAAGTGAGCCTACAGAGCGTGTAGAATAATTAAAAGTGTCCCTCCTCAGTGTAACTCCTAAAGATTATTCAACAAAACTTTTGTGGAATGAATATACAACTAAATTGAAAAGGAAGTAAAATATAACAATATGAACACATTTCAACTGAAAGAAAAATTAGAAAAATAGATCAATCCTTCAGAAGTTCAAGGTTCATGCTTCCACTATTATTTATAGATACATTTAGATCTTATAGGCTTTTAATGATAGTTAGTCTAATTACAAAATTGCTGATTTAGAAAGTCTGTGAGAATATTGAGAAGCTTCTCTTAAGTCAAATAATTAAGTAGAGTGGAATAGAGATCTTTGAATTTACCTGACTGTCATCATGATGTTTGTATGTGTGTGTGTGTGTGTGCAAGAGCAGGCGCACGTGCAAACACAGGCCAACATTTTGTATTGATAATACTTGTAGGGGAGAGAGAATATTACGATATCACAAGAAATGGTAACAAAATCTAGAGAGCATCATGGACAAATAAGGAAGGGAAGAGGGAACATTTAATGACTAGGGAGACAGAGGCACCTCAGCAGCTAATGCAAGCGAAATATGCAGCTCTTTAAGACCAAAGTTCTTTAAACCTGATCATGATTAATCTGTTGGAGTTCTGGTGTAGAGATCTTTTCTAGAAAGTTCGTCACTCTACAAAAGGGCCAAGGTAAACACACAAAGATGAATTTTGATTAGGGTGGGTGAAAGGTCATATACAGGAAAACCATATTGTGTTATTACTTCAGAATTTATAATAAACTGATATAGACTAGGATGAAGTCTTTAAGAGATAAAATAGTAATTGGAATCAGTGGTGAATATGTTAAATATTTAAAAGAACTTTTTGGCCTTTAAGAACTGTAGAAACCTCTATTTAAAAAATTTTTAAAAATTATAATTATGAGCAATTATCGTTTAGTAAAACTGTACCAACAAAAGGTCTAATGACTTACTCCATACACTTGCAAGAATAAAACTTGGGCCTCTCAAATATATAGCACATTTTAATTGGATTAGATTTGTCTTTACCTCTCGTAGTCTAAATTACTCAGTTTTTCTTGGACAGGGCAAGAAATAATAAGCCATATTTCCATTATTCCTGAAAATGCCTTCTTTCTCTCCAAAATAATCTGTTGTCACCCTTTTCTATCTTTTCATTCCTTTTGCTCATTTCTTAGTACCTATTAAAACTAGCTATTTTAAAATGACCACTTCTCATTTTATAACCAGACATATAAAAGACACCTAATAAGTAAACCTTAGAAATAAATCTTAAGTGTGGATTGAATTTTATGTCATGTATTACAATATAGTTTTAAGTTTTTACCTGAGCAATTACAGATGATCGGATGCTTTTATCCTCCGAATGTTCAAGATTATGTTCTGTGGTGTGCATGCTAATATTTAAAAGAAAAATAATTTGAAAGAAAAAAACAGGATTATAAATCCATCTGAAAACAAATATGGTTAAGTGGAATTAATTTCTTAATAATTTTCAAATCGTAAAATTGTATCATAGTCAAGTCAGATATCTTTACAGTCAAAACAGTTCCAGGATCCATTTTAAAGTTATTAATCAAAGTCAGGTGCATAAGTTTAAAAACTACCATTATCTTATAAAAATGTAATACTTTTTAAATAGTTCACAATGCTGAGCCATATCCTAAAAGCATATATTAGAAAATGCAGCTCTTTATATCATCCTTGAGATCATTTCCACCATTGATTTACTCTACCTTTAGTCACATTCCTGCATAAGAGACTCCATGAAAATTTAAAATGGAATACGATCAACTATGTTAATACCTACATCAATAAGTTACAGATATATGCTGTCTTTATGCATGGTCCATTTGAAAGGTCTGTAAGGTCAACATTTAAACAAAATAAAATAGGTTTTATTTTGATTAAGAATGAACTAGAAAAGAAGGCATGAACTAGAACCACATCGAGAGAATAAGGTCTGGAAACTTTTATTTTAAAATATCTGTTTTTTTCTACCTTCTCTGGGGTCTTAGCTGCCTTTTTAGAAAGAGTAACTTGCCTTAAAAATATCATTCAGTTCTTGAGTTACTGTTGAGAACAAAATTAAAGATTTCAACTTTGATTTTAGGTATTTGATAAGACCAACTCCCCTAGTGTTTCAAGTATCTATACTTTTTTTTGAAAAGGCAAGAAATTTAAATAATGAAAATTTTTAATGAAAAAGAACATTAAAATTTGAGTACCTACCATATGCTAGGTGCTTTATATATATTGCCTCCCTTTAATGAAGTAAAATATTAGTGTATAAAATCCCATAAAGAATAATAACTGAATTTATGACAAAAAGAAAATAACATTTATATTTTAAATTTGATGAATAAAATTAGAGGGCACATGAATCATGAGGTTAGGGTACAAAGTTCATCCACTCAATAATTTTTGAATGTCTACACTCTCTGGACTCTGAAGAGAAAGCAGCAAAACAAAAACAAAACAGAAAGATAGGTTTCTGTTCTCATGAAGCTTATATTCTTGTTGGGGGGTAGAGCAAAGACGAGCAATATTTTCAGATTGTAATTAAGTACTGAAGAAAATAAAACAAGATGATACTAGCAGTCTGAATAAATGAATACTGTGTCAAGTAATAGTTGTGCCTGCAATTACTCAATACTCTTTGTATATATCTGCTAAGAGTGGAATTGGTATGTGGTACACATAGTAACTAAAAGCAAGGACTTCTAAGCTGAGATAGAAATGTATTTCACTCCCCTCTTCATCTTTTAATAACTGTGGGAAGTGATTTATCTTCCTAGGCCTCAATTTCCTTATCTGTGAAATAATGATACGATAGTACTTAATTTACTGATTATTGTGAGGATTAAATGGTATAATAACAGCTGACACAGTTGGATTATGTTAAGTACCTAATGTGAATCATCTCATTCGAAACCTCACAGCTCTGAGTTATTTTAATATTATCCCCATTTTACAGAGGTTGAAACTGAGACCGAGGAAGATTAAGCCATTTTCCTAAAGTCATCTAGCAAGTGGCATAGCTAGAATTTGAACCAAGTACTCTTTAATATTATTCAAATTGTATTTTTCTTTTTAGTTATTCTGGTGATATTGCATTGTGTATTTAAGTTGCATTTTCTTGATGATGAATATATCTTCATCTATTTATTGGCCATTTGAATATCTTCTTCAGTAAAGTATTCACATCTTTTGTCCATTTTAAAAAATGGAAGTAGAGCTACTGGTAATTCTATGTTTAATTTTTTGAGGAACTGCCATACTGTTCTCCACAGTGACTATACCATTTTATATTCACATCAGCAATGCACAATCGTTCCAATTTTTCTTGTATATTTTTTGTTATTTTTTTCTCATAATAGCCATCCTAATGGGTGTGAAATGGTATCTCATTGTGGTTTTGAGCATCTTTTCATTTGCTTATTGGTCATTTGAATATCTTCTTTGTAGACATACCTATTCAAGTCTCTCTCATTTTTAAATTGAGTTATTTGGTTTTCTTGCTATTGAATTGTAACAGTTCTTTATCTATCCTGTATATTAATCACTTATCTGATATATGATTTGCAAATATTTTCTCTCATTCTGTGAGTAGCCTTTTCACTGACTCCTCATTGTTCTCTAGTTGAGGTTCTACTCCTTTCACTTCATAAAATAATTCTAGTTAAGGTCATAAATAATCTCCAGTTGACTCTATGACACAATGAAACATTCTTCTTTTGGCTCTTGTTAAACCACTCTCACATTTATGCCCACCCCTTATGTTTCTTCTTATTCCTTCTCTGTCTTCTAGGGAGCTTCATCCTACTCAACTGCTTAAAGCTGGGGATGCTGAAGGTTCCATCTCTCAATCCTCTGCTAGTTCACTGGTTGAGTGCCCCAATGCTCTTCACTGGCTTTATGATGAAGACAAAATTATTTATCATCACTGTCTTGATTCAGACTAGTATAACAAAGTACCTTAACTGGGTGCCTTATAAACAACAGAAATTGATTCCTCACCGTTCTGAAGGCTGGACGTCCAAAATCCGGGTTCCAGATTGGTTGGCTTCTAGTGAAGGCTCTCTTCCAAGTTGCATACTGTCGACTTCTTGTATCCTCACATGGGAAAAAGAGAGCTAGAGAGCCCTCTAGGGACCCTTTTAAAAAGAAGAGCACAAATCCTTTTATAAGGACTCTACTCTCATGACCTAATTACTTCCCAAAGGTCCTGCCTCCTGATACCATCTCATTGGGGGTTAAGATTTCAATATATCAATTTTGGGGAGATACATTCAGTCCATCGCAATGACCTACAGGATCCTGCACAATGTGGTCCTTGGCTCCCTCTCTAGCCTAATTTCATACCATCTCCCATCCATTTTTTATAACTCCTAGCAACTCTGATATCCTTTCAGTTCCTTGAAATTGCCTGGTTCCTTCTGCAGGGGATTAACACTTGCTTTTCCTTCTAATTGAAATACTCACCTCCACTAATATCTCCTTCATTCGGTTAACTCCTTTTAATCCCTCAGCTCAAGGGCCACATCCTCAGAGAAATATTTATGACACTACATCTGCCCCTAGGCTAAGCGAGATCCAGTTTTTATATGCTCTTATAAAACCTCAATCGTTTTCTTCAGAACATCTATCTTTTTGTAATTATATATTCATTAGAGTGATTATTTAACGTGTTTTCCTCATTAGGCTGTAGAATCCATAATAGTATCCCTCAGGTCTTTGAGGCTCTGTTCATTTTATTTTTCAATCTTTTTGTCACTATGTTCTTCAGATTGGACAATTTCTACTTATCTATCATCAAGTTAACGGATTCTTTCCTCATTCATTCCCAATGTGTTATTTAGTCTATCCAATGAATTTATTTCAGATACTGTATTTTTTAGTTCAAAAGTTTTTACTTGCTTCCCATTTACTGTTTTTATTTTTCTGTTGTGAACGAGTATCCTCTCATTCATTTTAACTATGCTTATCTTTACCACATAAATCATAGTTACAATGGCTGCTTAACATCTTGTCTGATTAATTCCAACATCGGTGTCATTTTGTGTTGGCATCTGTTGATTTTCTTTTCCAGTAAGACAATCATTTCCTGTTTTTTTTTTACAGGTCAAATACTTCTGGAGTATAACATTTTATTGTGTAGAATTTGTGTTCAGTTAAAGTCCTCTGAAGAATATTTAAATTTTTTTGTTTGTTTAGAAAGCAATCAACTAGGTTACATGCAGATCATGGGCTCTCTCTTAATTTTCTGTGGGCACTATTTCCAATCTAAGTAAGAGTTGCTAAATAGCTGCGGTTTCCAACCTTTTTGGCATCAGGGACCGGTGCTCCTATGAGAATCTAATGCTTGTTGATCAGAGGTGGAGCTGAGACGCTGATGCTAGCACTGGGGAGTGGCTGCAAAAACTGATGCTTTGCTTCCTGGCCTGCCACTCATGCACTGTGCGGCCCTGTTCCTAACAGGCCATGGACCAGAACTGGTCCGTGGCCCAGGGTTTGGGGACACCTGCTATACAGTCTTAGGTCTGTCTCAAAACTGAACCACTCAGAGGCTAGTCTGACTTGGGCAGTGTTTTTCTCTTTCTTTCTTTGTTTTGATCTTACTTCAGTTCTTAAAGCCATTGCTATGCTGTTTTGGGCCTGTCTCATGCATGCATAGGTGGAGGTGACCCAAGACAGTTAGGTTCGTACACAGAATTAAGGAATCCTTTTCCAACTTTCTCCCTTCCTGAGTCTGCACCCACACCCCACTCTCAAGGTCTCTTTTCCTGGGTTCTCTGGTCAGATGAAGTTTTTCTTTGAGTTTTAGCTGCCCATAATACCAAAAGTAAAGGAAAATCTGCAAAAGGAAAACATCAACAACAATAACAACGAAGGTTCCTCACACTTTCTTTGGACTATAGGGTCTGTTTTCCCAGATTTTGGGCCATAAATATAGGTTTTCTGATGTTGGCCTCTTGTGCTGTCCTTACACAGTTGCAGGACTGGGGCTTGCCTTCAGGTCAAAGGTGCAAGCACGAGAGAAATTCACCCCTGTGGGTTTGGCTCCCCTTCACAATCTACCTGCTTTGGTTTACTTTTGAATCCTCTGGTAGTTGCTCTTTGCATGTTATCTAGAGTTTTTGGTTGCGAACAGTGGAAAAGAGGTTGTCCTAAGCCTATTCCATCTTTGATGGAACTGGAAACCTGTAAGCTCCATCAGAAGAGGGATCATATCTGGTTTTACCTTTGATCTACATAGTACCTAGCACATGTAGGTACTCAATAAATATTTATGGAAAAAACATCAAGTGAACTGATAATAAAAAATGTCAGATACTCAAAATGACAACCAAGACAAAAACATTTTGCATGGTTAACAAGAAAGGCATCTTTGGTAGAAGAGTAAGAGACTCTAACACCAAAAATAGGTTTTTCTAATACATTAAGAAGGAAGCAAATTATAGGATAAATAAGATCCTTAATAATTATTCCACAAGACATATAAGAAATCAACAGAGGAGAACTTAGAAAAAGATTTTGTTCCTATAAAACAAAAATTTAAAGAGTGGAAGTTCTGAAGAACCATGGAGCCTGGATAGGATCGATTTTTGACACAATTTTAATGGAGGAACTTGAAGAAGAAAAAACAGATACTTAAGTAATGTAGAGATCAGAAGCTGGCTAGGCAGAATACATGAGCCTTAGCTCTCTCCCCACTGCCCCTTTCCCTCTTCTTTAATACACTGCTTTCTTCTTCGCTCTAGATATCTCCTTATCTCTATTCTCCTTTGGACTTCTTTCTTCCCCTGGACACTACTTTCTGTCTTATTTAATTTTTAAAATGCCTATTTCTTTAATACGAATTTTTAACTTTAAAATGAAGGGTAATTAAATTCATACATTTTTATCTTTCTCTTAACTCATTTTTTTTTTTTAGGCAAGGCAACCCTTGGTTGACCTCACAGATTGTGGGGACCTTGTCAGCTTACAATCTCTTATTTTTTTACACCTACAGCACCTGGTCTTCCTAGGTGGTCTCCCATGCAAGTACTAACCAGGCCCAACCCTGCTTAGCTTCCGAGATCATACAGGGTCGGGCTTGTTCAGGGTAGCATGGCCATAGACTCTCTTAACTCATTTTAAGGGGTCAATTTCTTGATAGAAAAACATCTTGTGAACAGCTCTGTGCAATTATTTAAAATAAATCTGATATAAGCAAAAGCCTACCTGTATAATTCAGAAGTAATTGTAGTAATCCAGGTATTTAAGTGCTACAGTTACTGTAACCTGTTAGGAGTCCTCTCATGCGATGTCTGGATAGCTGGCGTAATGGAAGAAATGAGAACTTTGAAATCAGAAATATGCTAGTTGTATGATTTTGGGTAAATTACAATATCTCATCATCCTTTAATGGGCATAGTAGCATCTCCTTTTCTTATTTCATGCTCATAGCTAGAGAAAGCAGAATCAAATATGAGAGTAGCCAACTAAATCTGGGTTTACTGGAAATTGTGGCATGTTTTTTGTATACTAACAAAAAGAAAACTTCATAGCTTATATTCTAGTATCTTACATTTATGATCACCTCAGTTTTATCATTTTTATGCTATATTTATTTTAATAAGCTCCTTAAAATTCTTTTTGGAATGAAGCAGAGTATAAATGTATATATACATACAATCATACACATGTATCTTGCTATTATGGGACTAAAGTGAGATGTTTACATTGTTCGTAGCAAAAGCTATGGTATTCCATTGATAATTTTTATTAGAAGTACGCACTATTGTCATCATATTGCTAAGCTTTGCTTTTAAAGTTGTGAAAAATTGTGACAGATTTAGAAGTTCTATTTTTATCTGGTTTTATTAGAATCTCTCTTTGTATGTATTAACAATGAACAGTGTGGTACTGTAAAAAGTTGGACAAACTAGGCTTTCGCCTTTAGTTTGCTATGTTATATTGAGTAAATTTCTTGTTTTCACCTCTCCGTAACTCAATTGCAAATCTATAAAATGGGGTAGGGAGGGAGGATGTCAGATAATCTAAGGCCTTCATAAGTTTTGTCTATGCTTCCATTCTGTTATGGAACAACTAAGAAACAAGGTGAGAGAATATACCAAAACACACTGCTTAGGAATGTCATCTTACGTTAACATAATGTACGTATATACGTATATCACTTAATAGAAACACTTTTTGTCTTTCCCTGCTGTGTGTTTTTGAACTGTATACTGTATTGGGGCCAGGGGTAGGGTGGGGTGGGGGAGTGTGTGTGTGGGGGAAGGTTATCCTTTTGAAGCCAATGTTGTGCAATAGAGACACATTCATTCAACAAAAAATGTATGGCTAATTCTTAGCTTAAATGTGGGTGATTCACTTTGTGGCTTAGCTAAATACTTTAAAATCATTCTTCATATCTAGCTCCCCCCGCCCCCCCCCGCCCGCAATAGATTTTAGAAATGCCAATTAAATTTGACAGTAGTATTAACAGTTGGATACATAATAACTGATACTGTCTTCAAAAATCATAATGTAGAGAGTTAGGTATAAATTATTCTAAGTAAGACTGAAACTGTTTTCCTTCCATTGACAGGGGCAGAACTGGAATTTGAATTCAGGTATGTTTCAAAATGTATTACATGCCCTTAATCACTATACATCACTGACACACAATAGACATTTAACACATATTTATTAAATGATTGTTAGGTAAAGTAAATGCATCAATATATCTGTGTTCATGAGTATATGCTGCTTTAGAATCTTTGGAACTATTGCTGCCTTTCAGGTAAAGAACTTTTTTTTAAGTTTACATCAAAGATCATCAAGTAAAAACAACTACATTTGTTTTCCTGAACAATTAAATTTGAGAGCTGTATCTACAAAGAGAATAGTCTTTATAAAGAGCATTCAAGTTAGAGCAGCTATTTTTAAAGATGATGAGTAGCTGGCATTATTATTTAGTCAGGACAATATAAATTTGGGCTAAACTACTACTACAATTCAAATTGACTCTTGCTAAAATTACTATAGTATTTAGTGTTTGTTTTCATTAATCAGATATTATCTTGAATTTCTGTTCTTTTCAGGTACCTAG